TTTTTTTATAGTAACACGAAAACGACGCGTCGGACAAACAGGAAATTACGCAGTCCTTACACACTGCTAATTGTTTTCATTTTCGCAGGCTAAAAGTTTCTGAATTGTTCGGTGATTGGTGCTGAATGAATTTCCTCAGAAATATTAGAGACATTGAGATGCGCATACGAGAACGGATACGTCACTGCTTTGTGCATGACCTCCGCGCGAACCAATGACGCCATCGGTTGCCTGGTCGTACGGCATTCGTTTTGAACGTAATGAAGGTGACTGTCTCGTAGTTGATTTCCGAGAGCTTTTCTCGCTGTCAATTTTGATTAATTTTCACTGACATTGATAACACGTTTTATATTAGATTGATTTTGTATATTTATGATGAAATAAGAAATATTGGGTGCATTTTAGCTGATATTTATACCCACTGAAAACGCATGACATTGATTTGCTGAAAGAGGATTCGGCAAACAGGCCTGGGACCTCAGCAGAGTGGATGGAAATAGCGAGAGCTCTGTCAAATGCCTGGGAACTAACTACTAATTCAGATTCCGGACGTGAAATGACTTAACAAATTTTATTGGATAGTTATAATATTATGGTTGCCCAGTGACAGACGGGCGCCCGTCGTGGGCGCTTGTACTTAATCGTTTTCTGACACCCGAGAACGTAACGCAAACGAAATTAGAACAACACGTTACGTTCCCGTTACGTACACAAATCTTAAACTCTCTATTTACACGTATCGGCAATGCGAGCTGCCCAGCAACTTCCCTTTCTGACGTCACAAGGGGAATTTCTGTATGGCAATGAATAACTAATGAGGAGCCTCGTTTTAAAATACAAAAAATAAAGTTGCTGTAGACTGAGTTTAAAACACATTTTTTCACTTAAAAAAAATAATTTATGCTTAGAAACATAAAAATTAATAATATTTATGTATCAATTGATAATTTTAGACGTGAAAATAGCAGCCATTTCACAGGCACTTTAATTGAAATGTGCATTGCTAACAGCAGAGCTATCTCAGCCGACAGGCTGCTTGTTTATGTGTATACCGGTAGTTACTGATTTGAGCTGTGTAAAGTGAAATAAACAATTCATTTCCGGTGGAGAGGCAGCTTGTTGGAATTCAAGTCAGGTATACTAGTATGCACAGTTCATTCAGCAATGTTCAATTAATATATTCAGACATAATTTTTTCTTCGTAGAGTAAATCTCTGGGCGATCACTTTTTACCTCTGACTACCAGTATATATTCAAATAATGTTTATGTTGATTGTTTTTGCATCATCTCAGACATCATCTCAGAAACGAAACGCATTCGTTCATGGATTTGACCTACATGTATTATCAAACTTTAGCTGCTGTATTTTTAGCTCCGCTGTCGACTTTGTCGAGCGGAGCTTATCATATGAGTGATTGTCCGTCGTCGGCGTCCGTGTCAATGTTTTACTTTTTCGACTTCTTCTTGAAAACTACAAGCCTGAATGCTTTGATATTTGGTGTATATATACCTTGGGGAGACCTCTCTCAGATTTGTTCATTTTGTAATGATATCTTCAATTCTCTAATTTTGATGAATATTTTTGGTAAAAAGTGGTATTGTAGGGGTTACCAGCGGTAATTTGTGCCCAGGTCAAAGCGCATCCTTTAAAAGAGTGCATTGGATTGTGGGAAAATCAGTGTTTATCAACACAAATGTTGCACATGCGCAGCGTGATGACCACTGTTCTTTAAGTCACAGGATATTAACTTTTATTCCCTGTTTGGACAGTCCGAAAATGGGGACTTGTGGATTAACCTCTGTGCTTGCGTGCATCCTGACCTTAGACATGCCTGGACCAATTACATTGAAACTTCACACATACATCATACATAATAATATACATATGCACATCAATTTGTTTCACGATCTGATTCAAGATGGTCGAATGGCAGCCATTTTTGTACTGCCAAATCATCAAAATCAATCATTTCTCGGCTGTTTAGATGGACATGGACATTATAGGTCTTGATGCAAATCATTTTGTTTTTCAGATAAAATTCAAAATCAATGTGGTTCTAGTGCCATATCTCTGACTTTTAAATATTCATTATACATCATGTCATAGATATACAGATATATTGGTTTGACAATCCTATTTAAAATGGCAGAATGGTGGCCATTTTTTGTGATTAAAATATCATTAAATATTTATGGATGGATTTTGTTCACATTTGGTACATTAAACATGACAGGTTCCTGATGCACGTCATTTTTTTGTTCAGATTGGATTCAAAATGGCTGACTGGCGACCATCTTGTTTGAATGAATGGGCTTCTAGAGCCATATCTCTGACATGCTTTGACTGTTCAAATGTTATATATTCGTTCTACATCAGTTATAGATATACACATGTATTCAAAATGGCTGATTTTCTTTTAATTAATGCTGTTCCAGAGCAAGCACTCGTTTGACGATCGGATACAATGTTAAACATAATCATCATATTCCTGACATGTTTGATTAAACTTGAATTAAAACACAATTCTATGTTGAATTGCATTGTAGTTGAGTTTAATTAAACTCCTTAAAAGCAACCCTATATAGGAAGTTCATATCTTAACTATATTAAAAGTTAATCCAATGCGAGTCATTACAACAATGGTACAACACATCTGTGTGCGTGTTCCACTGATATCTCAGGAACTAATTAGTCCCTGTTCAGACGCAGTCCGAAAAAAGGGAACTTACCGTATGTTTTGACCTCTGTGCGTGCGTGCGTGCGTGCGTGCGGACCTGTAGCTTATAAATGCCTGGACCAATCACAATCAAACTTCACACATACATCATACATGATATTATACATATGCACATCATTTTGTTTTACGATCTGATTCAAGATGGCCGAATGGCGGCCATTTTTGTGCTAAAAAATCATACGTACGCAAATCTTAAAGGCAATGCGCGCGCATATACCCGACAAAATGCAATGACGTCATCACTCCAGAGCGAACCTTCAAACGGTTAGCTTCTGAATTTTCGCTTTGTGGATCATTAATTATCATTTTTAACCATACATATTTATTTATGCAGGTGAGTGACGGTAATTGTTTTCATACTCAAATATATAGCCGATACTATATTACTGCCTGTGGCTTTCGTTGCGTATGGAAGTTATTTTCATGAGTGATGCGGTGTATCCTGCTGTATCACCAAGAGCTTTACTTTAAAGTGACAAGTCTACAAGAGTTTCGTATACTGGAGATGTGATTTATTCACGCAACAGTGCAGGTCTGCTTAACACTATACAGCGAACGATCCGTAATGTAAAACCAAGCACATTCATGAACATCGTATTCACAATCTTAAGCTCCGTAAAAACTGAAAAATACAGATAAATACAAATAACAATAACGTAGCAACACAATTACATTTATAGTACGATATGCTAGGTATGTCGAATAATAGTAACAAATGAT